TGTGTGTGTGTGTGTGTGTGTGTGTGTGTGTGTGTGCGCGTGCGTGCAGATGAGTGCCTCTGCGTGCATGTTTAAGCATGCCTGAACATACAGCAGAGCCTTTTGATTAGACGATAATGGGTCTGTTGTGCCGCTGGGGCAGATGTCCAAGACTGGGACACTAAAATGTAACTCTGATCCAAACAGAGTGTCCAGTGTCCTATTAGCAGGACTGTCATTCTGCTTATATTTTAGGTAAATGGCCTGATTGATATTCTGAAATTATTCATCACCTGCTCAGGGAACAGAGACCAAATCAGCTGACATGTATCATTTTTTTTTTTTTTTTTTTTTTATTTTGCTTTTCTGTAATTTTGCTCAAAACCGTCACATCCATCTCACAAACATGGTATTTTAGCGGGTAATGTCCCTTTTTAAGCATAGAGGCTTGTTGAGGATGTACTGCAGTCACAGCCTAATTCCTGGGTGGGAACCTTTTGTAATCACACGCTTAATGTCAACATTACTGCGCATTGTGCCTGGAGAGCTGAACACCACTGTTTGCCGCATACGTCCTCTTTCTGCACTGTTGATATTCAGATCTCGAGCACACAGTACAGCTGCCATAATTGTTTTATTCCATAGACTAAACTGTACTTATCGCTGCTCTGGGTGAATTGTCACAATAATCGTGGATGTTTTCATTGTAAATTCCTCTCAGTTTAATGTGAGATTCCTTGTTGTCGTTTTATGTGTTACATAATGCAATTGTGGAGGTTTTTATGAAGCTTCTCTACAAAAGATGATATTAAAATGCCCTGGTTTTTTTCACATGGTATCATTGTCCTTCCAGGTTCATCAGTGACTAAAGATGATGGCGGATGCCAGCGACATGTTGGCAGCTGCCCTAGAGCAGATGGATGGCATTATAGCAGGTATAGTCATCCTATTACATTACGCATCAACATCATATCTTACAAATTTGAGCAGTCATTTTGTTTTTTTTACAGCTGTGTCAAAAGCATAAAGCAACAAAGTCTCTCTATCACCCTTCCAGGTTGAGTAAACATTGATAACACTTTATCTGGTGTAGTGGTTTGTTGCAGAGCTGACAGTTTAAATAGACATCACGTAATGTGTGAAAGGCTTCAGCATTCATTCTGTGCTCATTCAGGCTGGGTGTCTTGTAACTATGTTCACCAGTGGAAACACCAACGTGTGCTCAACAGTGACCGTTGCCATTTACAACCAGTTTGAGAAAATGGCAACCAGCCTGACTTTTTAACAAATAGGGACACAAAACAGCAAATGTACCCCAAAGTAAAGGAAGGAAATGTGTAGTAGTGAACAACACAAACTACAAAGAATTTAGTTTTTTTTTTTTTTTTGTTGCATTATGATAATTAAGCTGACATAACTGCATAGTATCCTAATTGCTCAAAGTATAAGGTGACAAATGGCAACCATACTTTCAGTTTTGACGACACAAAGCGTGCCATGCCTGGTTGCCAGCCTGGCAATCACTTTTAAAAGTGAATGTTGAGCTCTGATTGTGTCTCAATGGACCGTTTGATTTCATTCTCCCCAAACTGTTGTTGTTGCAAGAAACACCGGTTGTGGGATTGTCCATCTGTCTTTCTTTGGGTTCTAGCTCCTCATGTCGGTCTCTCTCCTTACCTCAGGCTCCAAGGCCCTGGACTACTCCAATGGGCTGTATGACTGTCAGTCACCCACCTCTCCTTTCATGGGCAGCCTGCGGGCGCTTCACCTTTTGGAAGACCTCAGGAGCGTCCTGGAGTTGATGGACACGGAGGAAAGGGAGAGTCTACGCTGCCAGATCCCCGACTCAACGGCGGACAGTCTGGTCGAGTGGCTCCACGGTCACTTGGTAAGATGTAGACCCATACAAGCTACGAGGGACTCTAAGATCTGTAAAAGAGATATTACGCAGATACCGTAATCGTCATCAGTTGAGAGCAACAATACTTCTTTTAGTTTAATAACTGGAACTGAAGATCATAAAAGTATAGTCACATTTACTTCTTCTCCTCATCAGGATACTGTAGCCTCGGGTCAGATCAGTTTCACATAACTGCTTTATCTAAACATAGAAGATGTAGAACTGAAGGAAGGGACACTTCCCCTGTCTGAATCCGTTTACGTTGTGCCACCATGGAGCAGGTTTAGTCTGTGATGGGAGGACAGAGTGTGCTGTGAGCAAGCTTTAGCACATCTGGTTTACTTCTGATTGTGCTCACTTTGTGTGCTGCATTAAAACTCTATGAATGCAAACAGTCCTGCTTGAAAGTAGACAGACTTGTTTGCCAAGCGAATACACGGGTGTCCTCCTCCTGCCGAGTTCACTGGGAATACACGATGAATTGCTTGTGTGTGTGTGTGTGTGTGTGTGTGTGTGTGTGTGTGTGTGTGTGTGCGCGCGCTGCAAGAAGCAGGCTGACTTCTTGGGAACCAGAGTGGTGTTTGGGAGAGAGCGATGGGCTGCATGCCAGATAAACGCCAGGGTTTTTGTACAGTGCTGTAAGTCACTCTGTGTACAGCAGTCTGAACGTGAGCCTTCCTCTCAGCCATGTACGGTTTGGTTAGTGCAGTGCAGCCCGTCACACTTTGATGTGAAGCATTTCATCTGAGGTCATTATTCGGTGCAGGTTTTTTAAGATCAGCGGAATAAATAACTTACCTGTGCCGCTTACACATGTCTGCACTTTAACAGGTCAAAGATCAGTTCCTCTCCTTTTGTCTAATCCATATTTTGTCTTCTGTCCATGCAGTCCAACGGGCACATCTCTCTGAGCGGGGCTGACCACTACCAGGAAAGGCTGTCTCGAATAGAATGTGACAAGGAGTCACTGGTTCTTCAGGTATCTATCCGGCCATTCTTAAATAATCGTACCAGTTTCACAAGAGATGAAATCTCCTTCTAAAAGAGACTTCTTGGTTCCTCGCAGGTGAGCGTGCTGACAGACCAGGTGGAGGCTCAGGGGGAGAAGATTCGAGACCTGGACTTGTGCTTGGATGAGCACAGGGACAAACTCAACGCCACTGAGGAGATGCTACAACAGGTGTGTGTGTGTGTGTGTGTGTGTGTGTGTGTGTTTACTTGTATGCTTGTGTTGGATGTAGCAGGGGCTTCTCTTGTGCAGCTACTGGAATAATGCAGTCTAATTTCCATGTCTACCTTGAGCACGAACCACTGAATAATCGCTATTATTATTTTTAATATTTACAACAACAAGAATGCCTATACTGCCAATATTGACCACACAGCAACCAACCTTTCTTTTGTAACGTTCCCTTCTTTTATCATTGTAGGAGCTTCTGTGCAGGAGTGCACTGGAGACCCAGAAGCTAGATCTGATTTCTGAAGTGTCCAAGCTGAAGCTGAACAACGTGGAGAAGGACAGACTTGATTTTGATGATAGATTTAGGGATAGTGAGGTATGTGAGCTGATTCTCAGGACAGGAATTCTCTTTGTTTCTGCCTTTTGTCCTTTCTCTCTCACCTCAACACACACACACACACACACACACACACACACTTGACCACACACAGCAAACTAGCCCTCATTGATGTTGTGGGGGTGGGACATCTCATTTTATTTACTGCCAATCGGTGGTTGTTTTCTGCTCCCAGAGGAACCATGCAGAATACTTGGAAAGCTTTCAAACACGTCATGTTGTTGTTGTAGCAGCGCTGCCCCCCCCCCCCCACTGGAACTAAAAGCTGCTGTCGATGTTCCGCCTCACGGCACATAAATCACTTCTCATCTACAAGCAGCTTTCTCTGAAGCATTCAGTCCCTTCAAACGTATCTAGAGTTACTTTATACTTAATTTAACTTTTAACTAAAATTAATTTGAGCCGTGCCGTAATGAAATTCACTCTGGAAGATCAACAGCCTATTGAAGAGAATAAAGTATTACTAGTGTATCTGTTCATGGCATCAACCTGCTATGGACTGGAGATGAAATTTAGCCTGTATAGCTAATTCTGGCTCATCGTCGCTTCTTAAAACAAATAAACATATTTCAAAGGTCTGCTTGTTATTCTACTACAATTCTGTGATATGCACTTTCTATTTTCAGGATTTCATTCTTGAAATTAATGAACTGCGGTACAGATTGACTGAGCTGGAGAGTGAAAAACAACAGTATGAGAAGAAGCTTAGATCCACAAAGGTGAGTTGTCACAGGAAAGTTTTATAAAAAAGAACTCTTCATGGCTTGCATCTCATTATTTCCCAGCTGCTCATGTATCCTCAGGAGTGGTCTCCTCCAGCTAAATCATTCTACAGTGAACAAGATAACCTGAAAGAAGGTTGATGTTCTAGTGAACTAGTTAAAATATCCTCCTGCTTCTGTAAATGGCTCCCAGTATGATTTATTCATCTTATTTACATTTTTTCTGGTTTAGAGATTTTTTTAGTGGCTGCTTTCTTTGAATATAAAGGTGTTGTATTTTCTGTCTTATCTTGGGTGAGACAATTGAGAAATTGCACCTTTTGCAGTTTCAGAGCTTTACGGTTTCTCTCGTTGGTCAGCTGTGTCTGTTTTTGAATGTCCTTTCTTCTGTAAATATCTTGGTTTGAATCTTGGGTATTCCATCTTCTTGACCTCTTCTCTCTTTCACATCTTGCATCTCTATATTCCCTCTCTTCCTTTGGCTTGTCTCTCGACTGCCAGTCGCTAATGGCCAAGCTTTCTAGCCTGAAAATCAATGTCGGCCAGATGCAGTATGAGAAACAGAGGAAGGAGCTCAAACTCCAGGCTATGCAGGTTGGCTTTTGTCAGGATGACTGTTTTGCTTGCTGTATGATTATGGTTTCTGACCTCTCCCTTTGGCTCCTCTTCTGTTTTTATTTTTGAGGGTAAAAATCATTACATCTGGTTTGCAGTATTATTTTAAGCACAATGATGTCACTTTTTGTAAACGGTGAAATCATTTGATTTACTAAACCATGCAGCACAGTAGAATGTATAAAGTCAGGGTTAGTCAGAAACGCCACTTGTTTAACTCTGCATCTACAGGGGACCACGTAAAGCAAACATTCACATTTTTCAAACCACAGGCATGCTTTCATTTTGGGGGTTTTCTTTCGAGAGTTGGCAGCGTTCTACTTCTCTGCGTCTTTCCTCATCCCTCATTGCACTCATTTCATTTTTTCTGATCCTCTTCGTTAAAACCTCTTACAGTTTATTTTGTCTGTCTCTAAGCTTGCTTCCTATTGTGGTCACTTAAACATGTCTTTTTTTTATAATGGCCTGTATTTGTTAATGCCTCAGCCCTCCCAGTCATAAGTGCTTACCCACCCACCTCACACATGTCGACCTCCAGAGCAGGTGTGCCCTGCGTGCCTGTACGCCACGTCAGCATCTTTGAAACTCTGTGTTGTGGTTTGTTTGTAGCGTGGAGTTGGGGGATGGGGGAGGTTGTGTCTGTGTGGAGGAAATACCCTCACTGTTGTCCTCTGTTGGACAGGAGGAGCTAGCCATACTGAGGAGGCACCTGGAGGGCAAAGACGGAGAGATGAGGAGACTGCAGGATGAGACGGGCTTCAAAGCCGTCTCCTCGAGCAGCTCAGATCCCACAGAGAGAGGTGGGAAAACCAGCTACTGAAGATGAAGCATGCATGACGTTTAAACTCCTGGTCATATGATTGAGTGGTAATATCGAGGGATAATTAGCAAAGCAGTAGGCTAAGTTTTTGTTTCATAATTCTTTGTCCTGTTTAGTCTCTCATCCAGATGAAACTCTTAGAAAGAGGCTGAAAGAAAAACGTAAGGGGGGTTTTTCTACTTATTTTTATTATTGCACTTTATTACTGCACCCCTCTCAACCCCTGTTTGCATGAACGGGCATGAGCCATCTGAACTCGGCTTGTCCATTATAACCCATTGGAGTGCTAATACCAGACCACAAAGCATCACATCACCAATCTGTTAATCTGTTGAACTGAAGACCAAAGTCATCCATAAGCTGTGTGTTTTGTAATGTCCACCCTGGAACAGCAACAAGGAATGTCTGCTTTGTGTTTTCAACAGGAATGAGGAATGAATTGTGTTGTTTGTCATAACCATTCAGGCTGCTCACTCATCCTCCTGCCTCATGTTCTCCAACAATAATCACCTCCTGTACCCGTCGATATCTCTCCTGTAAACCTCCCCTCGCTCACACCAACAACCAGTGTGTGTCCTGCTAACCTGTCATGTTGTTGTCAAGCTGATGTGTGACAGTTCATTATCACAAGTGCTGTCTTTATATATGGCCTTACCCCATCAGTAGTCTTTCACTTGTGTAGGGCAATTTCATTTTTTGCGCATATGTGACTCAGATCCGGGGTTTTTATTCGTGCTAGTGTGAACAACACACATCACATCACACCGAAGAGTTCTTAATCAACACTACTTTTAATACTTTTTGAAGATGAGTGGGATATAAAATATCCGATTTAATATTTCATGTCCCACGCATCTTCAAACAAGTTTGAAAGCGCTGACCTGTGTGTTAGTTTCTTGTTAGATATCACATTGAAGTACCTTTGTTGTCGAATTACTTAAAAATAAAAAACGCTAAAGTTGAGGATCGACGTGTGTGTGTGTGTGTGTGTGTGTGTGTGTGTGTGTGTGTGTGTGTGTGTGTGTGTGTGTGTGTGTGTGTGTGTGT